GCATGTCTGTATACCTTTGGTTAGTAGGCTCTACTAAATCAATCACTCAGATTACTGCTTCTCAGGTCTCATGAACTGATATATATGTAGCGGAAACTCAGCTATCATCGTGTACTAGTACTAGTTAATAGTTGACTTTTAACTTTTACTACTTAGTTAAATTATCATTCTTCGATGGTTTCAAAACTCAAAGACTTTAAAAGATACAGCTGACCCGTACCTTTGAGCTTACATAATGTATACTGGACTTTTTTTTTGGATCTAACGTATACTTAATTTTAGTGTCATAGGGCATGTTTGTTTTCTAGCTACAAATTGCCACCATTTGTCACGAAAAATTACCTCACTTGTATATGGTTAGTGTTCAAAATATTTGCTTCATCTTAGTAAGACTAAGAAAATCTTACCACAAACTCATTATGTTCGCCCAGGCTTTAGAAAATTTCTGGGTCTGCCCCTGCCACTGAGTACAGATGGCATATACTGATATACCCCATTCCTTGTCCTCGTGTTATCGGCGCTGTTGGGGAGTACCGATCGTATCTGTTATTTATCGCTAACTACCACTGAAAATTTACGATCGTTTAGAAGCCCAATAACATTCGAAGCCGAAGTACATACATTTGCATTGGTCAGAGAAGCGATGGTTGAGCAACTCTGACGGCACGTGTATGTACGCGCGGGTGCTTCATAGATTTGACCACAGACCAATTGGCAATTGGTGAGAAGCTGTTACCAATCGAACATACAATACGCATGCTATCGCTAGCTAGGTGACGCTGCCCTGTCCATCCTCGTGCTGAACGCTGAGTTTCTTGGAGACCATGGATGTGGCAGCATGTGCGGTGCTGCGGATCGGATCAACAACACATCGTGGTCCTGCGCTGCACATCAGACTGCTGACAGTCAGCCCACCATGCACACGGTTTACACTGGACCGTCCAAGTACAGCAGAGGACTCTGCCATGCGAAACAGGTGAAACGGATGCGGGACATCATCACCCTTCGACTCTGCAATAGAGAAGGAAGAAACAAACACCGGCACACCGCGAAGTCGCGGACTATGGGGGGCTTGTGCATGCTGACACGGCGACACGCAAACCGGTTGATCCCCTATAGATACTACCCTACATATTCGTGCGACCACCGACCGTGTCCCTGCACCGCGGTACGGGTGAATGGTACTTGGTACGGTCTCGTCTCGTCTCGTCCAGCCGACCGCTTCCGCAGTGTTGTTACTGGTCACTGCACGTAGTGGAGAACACCGACTTCGCCATCGTGTATCATGTATGTCTAGATGAATCGATCGTATAGTCGTAGGTTTCACCGACGCGCGATTCCGCGGAAGACTGAACGGCACTGTTATGACTCAAATGTACAATCTATATACCTTAATAATGACTTTCTCTGGGCACGTGCGGATGCGCCAAGACTGAAGGGCAATGTTATGAAACTCAGTTGTACAATACTGTACAATCTATATAGTATACCTTAATCATGCATGACAGTCTGGGCACGTGCGGATGGTGTGATCGCGCAGGCCGGGCTCCCAAATTTTTCTAATGGTCAGATAACTGATACTGGATCCACTCCTGCCTTGATTTTTCCTCCATCCAGCTAAATCTCAGCCTTAAATGCTCATGAGGCAATAGTGAAGATCGTTGCCTGAAAACATTCCTATATGTCAGGCGCCTGATATTTGGGTTCTCTTCAAGCGATGTGGTGTCTGTCAATCATTCTTCAGTTTGGATTGATGTTAATCTAAGGGCTACTAACTGCTGCCTGAACAAAATACATATTTCAGGCACTTGGAATATAGCATGTCCCTATATTTCAAGCACCTGAAATATAATAAGTTCCTTTCTTTTATTTAAGTCTAATTAGATAAATGTCCATGCGTTGCACGAAAACATAATAATGATATGGTAATTAAAGTATGAGCGTGTTTATATTTTTTTTAAAAAATAGTGCGAACGCGTTACAAAAAAAGCAATTTTTGAACGTGATGTTTGGAACACCAATATTACGAACTTAATTTTGTGCATAGCTAGAACTAAGAGGGGCAATTATGTTTTAGTTGTATCCTCCGATACACCTATATGCCACACCTTCTTAATAGCATCCTAAGGGTATTGACTCGGCAAACACCAGCGGTCAAGTAGTCCTTGCAATTCTCCTAGTTATGTTCGTAGTTTCCTGCATATAAACTGTTTGTTAATATATAAAGCTAGAGTATTGTTGATTAGCCGCTCGTTGACTGGTCTATCAAAGATGCTTATACGAATATGGTGCGCCGGTGATTTCATAGGAGCAAGTGTCTTGTACTATATAAATATATAAATCTAAAATTAAAAAGAGACAACATTGGAGCTCTTTTGAAGGCATCTCAACCTTGAACCCGTAACGAGCTAGGACTCCTAGAAAAAACAGCTTGGCATGTGCTCTGTTGACCAGTATTTAATCAGTCTGGTGATTTGAGCTGACCGGAATGGAGGCTGAGAGCATCTCCAAGAGCCTTTCTAAATCTTAGTCTCTAAATCACCATTTGGAGAGCCATTTGCACAAAAATCACTTTCTATATTTTTTTCACTCTCCAACAGTTTTTCTATATCTCATGCACGCTCTAGAGAGCTATTCTCGTCTTCTATTTTCGGCTAGCGAAAAATCCAAAATATAAGATGGCTATATTTGGATGATCATTTAGATAATCTATAAACCTGGAGATGCTCTGGTCTATGCATGTATCTCCAACACAGTCGTTTACTCGCACAGGAATTTCGGCGGCAGCGGCGCAGTTTCGTTTCGTACGATCGATCCACGATGGCTGAAGAAGAAGCGGAACCTGCAGGGACCATCACCCTTCCAGATGTATGTCGTGCAATTCAAACCACAAAGACTTTCTTACCCCGATTTTTGTTAGCACTGTAAGAATAATTAGCTAAAGATATGGGCACTGAGACTAGAACCTATCGCCATGTTGATTTGGAATGGAGTTTATTCACAGAAATGTCAAAGGATTGTCTTTCCTGTGTTTTGCTGATGTCATATGGTGTTTGGATTGGAGGAACACAGCTTCCTAATCAAAAGGAAAGCTTTGGTTTCTTGCACAAAACACAGGAATAAATTCGTCACAAACCAAAGTTTTGCTCACGGGCGAGGCAAGCCCTTGGTGTAGAGAGAGAAAGGAGGGTGGTGGTCTGGTGGAAGAGAGAGGTGTGGCCGTGCAACTATGGCCTCTCTATCTGTGGCCGAGAGGAGAGGGAGCAAGGAAAGAGAGCTAGGAGATAAGTGGATGACCGTACGAGAACAAAGTAGAAATAAGGACGGTACTTTCACAAAAATATATATATAAAGATAACTGTGACCTGACCAACTAAAATCTATTGTATAAATGTGCTAAAATGAACATAATCAATCTTGTATTAAGCACTAATGTTTTTTAATCTTATGCATGTTTTCTGATTTCTGGATTGGAGTTCCTATGTTCCAAACATCTCATTTGTCTATTCTGTTTTTTCTTTCAATACTATGTTTGATTCTTATACCTTCGTCACATTCTTATGTTCACTCTTGTTTCTCTATTTATCAATCCTACATTTTGATATTGTACCCTCGCCACATTTCTATACTTTCCCATTCCTCTGTTACAAACATGCCCTAAAAATTTTGATACTGCCATAATGTACCCACATCATATTCCTTTGCCTTTTCTCATTCATCATATTCATGTGCTCTTTCCATTCATCTGCTCCAAATAGGCTCTAGAATAAAAGATTGAAAAACAGAGAAACGGTAGAGAACACAGGAATTGGGTATGAAGAAAGAGAATTAAAAGTACATAAAAAAACATAGAAATGGGTTTGGATCACGGGGATTGAAAATGAACTTTGAAACATGAATTGTAAATTTCATCTACTAAATCTAACTAAACATAATTAATTTAATTTGTGAACGGCCCACAGTCAGTCCTTGTGATTTATATTGTCCACTGGTACTCACCCTTGTCTCAGATCGCTATCTTCCTCAAAAGCTTAAAAAAGAAAGAAAGAAGCAGGAGTAGCTTCAGTGGCCACAAGTCAATGAGAGCTGGACCTAATTCATTGGCAGCAGCAGGTGCAAGCCTGCAGAGCGAGAACTCAACGGCAAAAACCAGAGCTCACAGCGGATGTTTGACTTCCTCTGTTTGGTGAAGGAGAGCTTTCCTTTCCTCTAGAACAGAGACTCAGTACTCCCTTCCAAACAACAATTTTCCTTTCCTCTTGACCAAACCCATTCCTCCATTCAGGACAAACAATTCTCTAATAGAGGGTGTGGGCGGAGAAATCAAATCATTCTAATAAGATGATGCATTAAATTTGGTGAAATGACTTTATTCCTTAGTAAGTTAATGAAGAATGAGGTGATGGTACACCAATCAATTTCATTCGTCAAACCAAACAAAATAAGAAAAAAAAATAGACTAACCCATTCCTCAAAGCGAACACCCTATAGACCTTTCCTCTGGACTCGATTCATCCACTTTTCCTTTGGTTTTACTCCATCCCAAACAGGCCCTAGATGGACGTGTAGCCACAGGAAACGTGACAGCTAGAGTAAAAAGAGCAAACGTCGAGATCATTCGACAAAGCGAGCGATTGGAGCACCGTTTTAACGTCACATGTTATACAACCCAGACTCCTTGAGTTGCAGACTGGCTAGCTGGAGGCGAAATTGTGAACCAACAAAAAAAAATGCAGCAGCCTCTATTGTTCTTGCATGGTAAATAAAAATGACTGGTAACTGCATCCCGAAATGGAACATCCCAAAAATTAAACATGACCTCACATTGAGTTGAGTTTGCTGCTCTCTTCTACGATTATATAGAGAAAAACCTCACGGTATCCTCAGCTCAGATTTTGTCTTCCTGAGGAAGTAATTCTTTTTCATCAGTCAAAAATTTGCATGGTATTATTTCCAGATAAGCACTAAACAGTCTGGCAGGGGAGCGCTTGTGTGTGAATTTATATGTCAAGCAGCAACCTCCTGGGGTCCTCGACCACATCCTTGATGCGCCGCAGGAAGAAGACAGCCTCTCTGCCGTCGATCAGCCTGTGGTCGTATGTCAGCGCAAGGTACATCATTGGCCTCGCGAGGATGTCACCATTCACAACCACAGGGCGTTGCACAATGGAATGCATCCCCAGAATTGCCGACTGCAATTCACATAGATCACATTTCAGATCAATAAACATCTGCATGTTACAAAATGTGTCACTACTGATAAATGTGCAGCAGTTACCTGTGGGGGGTTGATGATAGGTGTGCTGATGAGGCTTCCATAGACACCACCATTGGAGATGGTAAATGTTCCTCCTGCCATGTCATCAATTGAGAGCGCCCCCTCAGTTGCCTTCTTTGCAAGGTTGTTTATCCCTTTCTCAATGTCAGCAAAGTTCATGGTATCAGTATCCCGGATAACAGGAACCACAAGTCCCTGAAAAAGATTCCAATTAGTTATATACATAGTAAATACTCCCTCCATCCCAAACTATAGGCCATTTTGGCTTTTTTTGGTACAAGAAAGAAGATGAGACAGCAGTCACCAGAGTAGCAAGCAAGCAATATGGTACCTTGGATGTGCCAACAGCAACACTGACGTCTACATAGTCTCTGTATATGATGTCATCACCATCAATGACAGCATTGACAATTGGTTGGTTTTGAAGCGCAGAAACAGCAGCCTGCCAAAATAAATAGAATTAGCCAGCCATATAAATGTTCGGTGCAAAAACTTTGCAACACAGACTGGCAAGTACCTTGACAAAGCAAGACATTAGGCCCAATTTGACACCATGCTTTGTGACAAATTCATCTTTATAATCAGAACGAAGCTTCATCAAATTGGTCCTGCATCATAAAATCATAAGATAAAAAAACACACCAATGCAGCCTTCAAGGAATCATAATGGCATGCCAAAAGATAATTATTGAAGTCCACATATAAAAGAACATAAATAAGTTGAGCCGCACAACGACACACCAGATATTTGCCCAATAAATGACAGGATTTTTTTTGTCAGTGTTACTGAATAAAAAAAAACTAAGTTCTATAAGCATTCATACATATAGAGGATAATCATATATATTTTCATCTAACATAGGTTAGCACATGTTTGTTAATTCAGGGTGATAGGTAGGGATAAGTGATCAATATATTGCCATGTAGCTCAACAGATTACATTCTTTATTGCCTGAATACAGGACACATCTTTGAACTGCTTAAAATATGGTAAGACAGAAACAGGTGTCACCATTTTATACAGTTGCAATGATGACAGGAGCACAAATATAAACTGATCAAACAGAAATATACTGTAGCAATCTACTGGAAGGAATACGTGAGAACACTTACATGTCAACTTCATTAAATGTAGTCAGCATTGCAAAGGTGTTCTGAGAATCCTTAAGCCGGTTTGCAATACGCTTTCTGAGCCTTGGCATCGGCACCTGCAATATCATGGTAAAATATGTGCATGTCCTTCAACAACATCTTAACTCTGTAATTGGATAATATTGGCCTTACCCTCCGCTCTCGTTCTTTTGGAGGGAGCTGTGGTTCTGAAGGGGACGTTTTTGATGGTGCAGTTGGCTTTGGTGCTTGCATCTTGGGAGGTTCAACTTTTGGGGCTTTTTCCTCTACCTTTGGTTTCTCTTCAACTTTAGGCGGTGATGATTCTTTTGGAGTTGCTTCCTCAGATGGAGCAACATGTGTTTCAGCAGGTTGAGCAGACTTGGATATGATTGCAACTTTAGTGCCGGGAGTAACTGTGTCGCCTTCACTAGCAATGAGCTGTAAACAACAGTCAGAAATAGCAACACTTAGTATGTGAACAGCTGTTGATCCTGTTAACGAGCAGATACGCATGGTATATGAGTGTGTATTCCTGACATCTGCAGAGTAAAGGTAAAGCATTGCCATGAAAGTAGACTGGAAGCTAGGAAGGAGTAAAACAATTCACCTTTTCGATAACACCAGCCTCAGGACTTGCAACATCTATAGTGACCTGGAACAAAAAGAAAAGTCATGCGGTTATGGCCACTAGCAAATATGAAGTTCCACTAATGTTCAAACAGAAGCCTCCAATACCTTATCAGTTTCAATCTGCGCTATGGGTTCATCGGCCTCGACTCTGTCTCCAGGTTCTGTATATAAGAAAAAGAAAATGTTATCACAGGGAGAGAGAGAGAGAGAGGGGGGGGGGAGCATACTCTTTAAGAAGTTAGCAAGAGTTCCATCAGTTACAGATTCGCCCATGAAGGGCACAACAGCCTCAAACTTGTCTCCTATATAGAACAAAAAACAGAACTTTATAAACGCATAACAAGGAACACATTTGTCAAACACTATCCGCCTCAAAAGGCTATTGTGGCTTACCATTGTCTGAAGCAAATGACCTACTCCAGACTTGGTACAGAGAGGGATGAGGTAAGTAACAGCGTTTTCTACAAAATTCAATTACAATATTACAATAATGTAATACATACATGTATAAAATGGGGGACAGACGTAAAAATATTTGGCATGAGGTTAGTAATGACATCTATATTCATCAACTAGAGCATGCTATCTGATATTTACCTTGTCAGATTTGAGCATTGGGAAGTAGCTGGAATCAAAGCTGGAGAAAAACGCATGTATTATAGTCAATAGTTGAGATCAAATACTAAAAATAGGGCTAGTCAGCGTAATAACCAGAAAGTTGACTGCTGTAGCTTCTGACATGTGTAGAACTCCTTAGGAGGCCTAGTGTCTGCAAGTAAATCAGAACAGTGAGGAAGAGAATTGAAGTGGAGGATTACTGAAATTATACTATTATAGAAGCTTATACTTTGTGTATCATTTGTGCATTAGCATTGCTACAAACATGAAATGGAAATGGCATAGAAATTCTGAGATTTCACATAACCAAGAAGACTTAGTGCACTTAATTATATAGCAAAATAACATGTGCATAAATATTCTCACTTAATTATATAGCAAAATAACATGTGCATCAATATTTTCACTTAATTATATAGCAAAATAACATGTGCATAAGAGAAATTCATCTAGCAGGGGGGGGGGCTTGGCCCTCTTCAGCCCCACCCTCCCCTAGCGGTGACAGCTTCACTGGTTCTAGTTGGCCTCCACAGGACAACTGTTGGTCTACCATCCACTACTATTACCGTAAGAATTTTCTGAGGCGGTCAAAGTGTTAATGGAGGCGGGCAGGTGTCCGTCTCTACTTCCGCGTCATTGTAAATCCTAATTTATAGAGGCGGAAATAATACCTGCCTCTGTTAATAAATTAATTAAGGGAAAATTGGATCTATACCATTGAAAGAACCAGAGTTTAGAAAAATAGCATCCAAAGATTCAGCTTTAGAAATTTAGTATCAAAAGATAGGTTTGGTGTTGCCTTCTACCATTTCCGTTAAATGGACGTTCACTGGAACGCTGCGCTGCTCTCTCCTGCCGTCCTGCGACCACCACCGCTCACAATGGTGCTTCTACTGCAAGCTCTGGCGGTCGGGAGCACCTCCACGACCTCGATGCGCTTGTGCTTGCCCGCGAGGCTGTACGCCCACACTCGCGTCTCCCCCTCCAGGTCCACGGCATAGTATACGGTGTTGGGCCTCAGCGCGGGACACACCCTGGTGGACGCGGCCACGACGCCCGCCGCGTCCATGAGCACGGCGGCGTCGCCGATGTATTCCGTATCCTCCCACAGTCCCACGTCTCCCTGCACTCGTCCAGCACGCACACCATGAAACCCTTCTCCTCCCGCGGCCGTCACGAGGCGGAGCAGCTCCACCTGCATCAGCTCGCCGTGGGGGGACTCCACCAGGAGGCCATGACGCCACCGTCGGGGGTGTGGGCACCGGGATGGCCTTGGATTACGACATCGATTGGGAGGACTTGCGGTCGACAAGGGGGAGCGTGGCGATGGCTGGGAGCGGCTTGCGCGCGCCTGAAACGAGGTCGAGTAGGTGCATGGGCATCTCGCCACGCTCGTCCGCGGCGACTATCGACCCACGCACGGAGCCGAGGGGCACGAACCTGGCACGGGTTCACGCGGCCCAGGCGCGCTGGGAGGGTGTCCACGCCTCCACGGAGACCTCGCGGTCGGGGCACACGATTAGGCGGCCGCGGTCGAGGGCGAAGTCGGCGCTGACATCCGTGGGGAGGAGCAGCCAAGGGCAGTCGAGCCGTCGTGGCGCGGGCAGCCGCGGCGGGCGGTGAAAGGCGGCTGCAGCGGTGCGCCAGGAGCCGCAGACGGGAGGCGCACGACGACGAGGTCGAGCAGGTCCTCGTGGAGCCCCGCCCAGTCGGCCATGGGGATCGCGCGAGACGTCGGCCATGCTGCGTGCGTGTGTTATGTTGTTGTGTGGTGTGTGTTAACGGGAAGTTAACAGAGATGCTAGGAAACTATAACGGAGAGAGCTTTCAATGCTATTTTACTAAAGCTGAATCTTTGGATGCTATTTTTCTAAACTTTGGCTCTTTCAATGGTATAGATCCAATTTTCCCATTAATTAATCAGTGAGCCTATCAATGCGGCCTGCTGAGCCGATCCACGAGGCCCTTCGAGCCCATCCTCTACTTCCGCGTCATTGTAAATCCTAATTTATAGAGGCGGAAATAATACCTGCCTCTGTTAATAAATTAATTAATTAATTAATCAGTGAGCCTATCAATGCGGCCTGCTGAGCCCATCCACGAGGCCCTTCGAGCCCATCTACACGCTGCCACCGCTGCTTGCCCAATCCGTGCGCTATCACCGCTCCTTGTTGGATCCGCACGCGTTGCGGCCCGATCCTAGATCTCGGCCACAAGCCCAGATGCCGCCCTTGATCTGTGTCGGCCGTCGCGAGCCTCATGCCACCGCCGCTGCTGGAGGAGCTCGGCCCCAGCCCCCGCGCTGCCGCTGATGGAGCGTGGTGGTCTGCGGAAGCCCTGCCGATAGAGCATGGTGGGCTTTGCGCGAGCGCCACCACCGGTGAGAGAGAAAGGAGGGAGGTGTGGCGTGTGTGAGGGACGGGAGTGAAGGGGCCAGCAATGGCATGTCTTATAGTTAGGGTTTGTTAAGGGAGCTAGATTGGGCCAAATCGATTTGACCCAATAAACCGCAGTGGCCATGCCAGCCAGCCCCAGCTTCCCTTCGTGGGCAAACCCAATCCTAACCCTAAAACTAACTAATACACCGGGGCTGCAGCCAAATAGAAACAAGACAAGACGGATCTGAGGTGCAGTTAAACGCGACCAAAGAAATTTGGCAATCAGTCAAACGGAATTCAAAAAAAGCCCCAAAAGAACCACCTTTCTTAATCTAAGACAGCAGGTGGACAATTCAGGTGATTGGGTCCAACTAAATTAGCATGCCCCATTATAAATAGGATATTTAACTTTTTACCATTATAACGGATGTCACCTCTCCAGATAGCACCTCTTAAAATTGCTTCTACATATTTACCATCGAGAGAGAGCATTTGATACATTCTTGCCATTTTCACTGACGTGGCACGCCAACTCGACCTGACAGCATAGACCGGCCACGGGAAATGACATTTTTGCCCCTCATCTATTTCTTCTATCTCTATCCCTTCCTTGCTCGAGCTCCGGCCATGGCCGACGGCGAAGGCGACCCTCATCCTGGACCACGTCCTGGGCGACCCCTCCGTCCCCTGCCGCAGCCGCCGAAGCGCTCCTCGCCGCGCTCCCCTCTCCCTCCAACCCGGCCTGAGCTCGAGCGAGGAAGGGATAGAGATAAAAGAAATAGATGAGGGGCAAAAATGTCATTTCCCGTGACTGGTCTACGCTGTCGAGTTGACGTGCCACGTCAGCGAAAATAGCAAAAATGTATCAAATGTTCTCTCTCGATGGTAGATATGTCCTGGAGAGGTGACATCCGTTATAATGGTAAAAAGTTAAATATCCCATTATAAATTAGCATCCCCCATTAATTCCACAGATCCGTAATTCCTGGGCCCAATACAACAGCCGCGGTGTTCAGTTCAGGTCGCCTATCTCGACAAACCCTAAGCAGTCGAGCCCGAATAACAAGGAGGAGGAGATTCCTTACCTCGGTGGGTACGGAGCTGCTGAGGAATTGCCTTGCTAGAAGGCACCGCTGCTGCTCCAGGGGCTGCCGGAGCCGGAGCCGGAGCGAGCGGGCAGCAGACCGGAGCATCGCCGCCGACGCCATAGGCTGGAGTGGGGACGGGAGGACTGGAGGAGCACGGCGCTCCGGTGATGCTCCCGGACGGAGGAGCCGCGACGCCGCGTGGCCTGGGAACGAGAAACTACGGCGGCGGAGGACGTTGGAGTCAGGAAGGGGAAATAGTCGTGCGGATGGTCGGATGGGCTCACATGGGCCGGTTGGAGGCCTGGTAGTTTAGTTTCTCTGGAGCTCACCCTTGGATCCAATATCAACGGCTTGGATGAAGAACTGCAGAGACAAGTCCTTCCGCCGAGCTGCAGACGATCTCGTTCCGATGGATGGACACGCCTGCGCCTCGTCGTGCTCGTGCGCCGCTCGTGCGAGCGAATTTCCAACGTGACTCGCTGACGGGTTGACCATGGTGTTGTGAGAGCCCACATGCAGATAGGGAGGCTCAGGTTCTGGGCGCGTGAGCCAACAGGCCCAACACCGCGCGGCCGGGAGCTATGAAAGCTGCTGGTCCTCCGCCATTGTCCGCCGAGACCACAAGGCACTAGCGCACACGAACTGACAGCGCGCAGTACACGGAGGAGAACCCTGGGATGACACCGGCCGCCAATCAGCCTCAGCAATCAAGCGGCGGCACAGCACCAGACTAACGGTGCAAACGCCGCCACCCATATTTCCTTGCTGGCGCGCCGGCGGTTGAGGTTGAATCCTTCGTAATGGTCGTGCTAGCAAACCCTGGTAGCTCAGTGCGGGTCCAAAAACCCATTAATTATCCCACAAGCCGCCGGCTACGCACTTGGACCGGCGTAAGTGCCGTCACCATCCATCACCTGGCCGCTGCGTGTCGCGCGAAACTGCTAGTGCCTAGTGCCGTAACTCTTCTCCTCGACCCAAAGTTGCAGCCGGTTAACCTGTCCAATCTAACCTCATATACGATTATCTGCTAAAGTGAGCACAGCGTCGTCGTCTGGCTCGCTAGCTCAACCGAACGACCTCATCACGTCAACAGCTAATTCAATTTCGGTTCGGCGATTTGAAGGGTGACTGTAACGAGGAGAATACGTACGGGAAGAAATGTTCAAAAGGTCAGCGAGGCCCCCACATGCCGAGGAGCTCGGAGCCGTACCAGGCGGCCTTGAGGGCGGCGTTCTCCGAGCGGGACGAGGACGACGTCGCGGTCGTCTCGGCTCCCGCGCCACCACGGGATCCCGCGGCGGGCTTCTGCGACTGCGCGTGCACGCTCAGACGGCTGCTAGAAGGCGTCGTTGGTGGCCGGCGGAGGACGGCTGCGGAGCTCCGGCCATGACGGCCGTTGGGTGGTCAGTGTGGAGCTAGCTGGACTGGCGTGCTGCAACGCCATGCGATTTTTTTCCGAGCTCGCCGGTGAGCAAAGCCGCTAGTTTCTCCTGACTTTCTCGTTGCCACTTGCCAGTTTGCCTTGTACAGAAAAGTGTGAGTGTGTGACCATCAAACATGCGGCCACGATTAATTGGGAGAGTTTGGGGCAAAAATAAAAGACGTAGTACTGGGCCGTGATAGGAACACTTTTACTCGTCAGGACCCAGCAAACTCAAGTTGGGTCATGGGTGCGATCGAGTCGTAGAAGCGTGGGCCCAACCGGTGCGATCACGTGGAAGTAGCTTGGACTGGAACGCAAGTTGGGCTACTTGCTTGCTTGGAGAACAGCGAGGGTCCACAGACATTACGGATTTACTACAGCCCAACTGAACCGACCAAGTGGAACGCAAACAAGAGAACTGATTCCAAGTTTTAATCTTTTTTTAGAATGGTGTTGGTGTTCAAAGATTCAAATCAAAGTTTCTCGAAGGCACATGCGCACGTATATGTTCGTGTTCCGTTCTGGAGAGAAAGCTGGCATTATTGTATTTCCTAGTCTCGTCAATATTCTCTGTAGAACCATCGCACCCTTTTTCCATAAACGCATGCGCATGGTTCCAAACACATGTAGAAATACTGCCGGTCGATTGAACTATTGTATTGTGGAAACAGGACAGACATATGGAGAGATGCTACTTGACACACTGCCTGCCGAGCCCCGGCCGGAAGGAATGCAGTCTAACTTGCTCCGCCGTGCAGTAACGCGCACGGTAATAGCAAATAGCATGCGAGTTTTCTGACTCTACGAAGAGCTCTACAATCAGTACACTTCTTGTTGACACTCGTCGTCATGACACATATGCGGTCGAGCCATAGCACCAAAATGCTGTTGCCTCTGCATATGCCTGCGCAAGAATGTCGTGAAATTGTCAAAGGACTCATGAATTAAAGCATGTTCGAAACATGAATCGAGCGGGTACATGGCATCCGTGCCGTGCCGGCATGTGTGCGATGACCAATGAAATGACCACATGGGCAACTCCGGGGGACCGAACCGATGACCGACAGACCGAGACGACGTCGCTTGCGACCGGCGAGCCGCGATCCTTCAGGTCACCTCGCGCAGTCGCTGTCGGCGTCATATGAAACGCCACCTGGCCAGCTGCTGGCAAACGGACAAAACTGCAGAATCATCATCTGAACTGATGGAGTAGTTCATCGCCACTTAATCAATCATTAGTTTATTTTTCGAGTTCCTCCTTCAACAGGAACTGGAAAGACGGGGCTGCTGCTCTCAACGCGAAGGAGAATACGAAGTCGTAGTAAATTCGTAATGCACCACACCAGCCAGTCCACCACGCACGTTCTCATGGCCGTATTTGCAAACGTGATCGCGGTCAGTGTCATGGGAAGATTATTTTGTTAATCCATGATTAATAAGGCCTTGTTTAGTTCCTTCCCTAAGGTTTAGTCTCTATCCCATCGAATGTTTGGACTTTGGATACGTGCATGGAGTATTAAATATAGGCTAAAAAAATAACTGTAACATCCTCGGTGTTACATTGTACTATTTTTGCAAAACCCTGCATGAGCATCTTACTTGTATGTGAATGTGTGTAATCTAGGGTATAAATCAATTTTGGAAATTGAAACGTTCATTTGAAACGTGAACCGAATGATCCGTGGTATGTCACGTTGTATCGCTTAGACGGGGAATTACTCGCGGCCGGGATCAAGAGTCACTAGCTAGCTTAGTGGGTAGCTTGGAAACCTAAAGTGACGCGAATCCGAACGAAGGACTTAGTCGTTTCTTAAGTCGGAGAGGTGTCGACGAAGCAAAGTTCGGGCATTTTTAGAGGAGGATCGGGTTAAGTCATGGCAATGTGTTTTAGCTTAGTTTGATAGCCCTATATACCCTCTGGAGCATAGAACAACTGGTTTGGCGTTTGGAGCATCGGCTTCGAGTTTTTGAGCCACTTTAAAAAGCGTGCACGACACATTGTCCATCTCCGGGCGCGGTCACCACCTTGGCTCGGCCTGGCACCGCCACTGGCCTACCCAGCACGCTGCCGCGCCAGCCGCGTCCCCACTACCGCGCCTGTGCAAGCACGCCGCGCGCGTGGCCCCTGCGCTGCCGCGCTGGCCGCCTTTCCGCCCCGCTCTGGCGCAGCTCGTGCACGCCATACGCGCCCTGAAGCGCTGCCCACCCGACGTCGCCGCTCGCTGGCCGTCCGGCCGTTACTGCCGCCCGGTCCGCTCTGCTGTTACGCGCCTGGCTTTCGACTCGCGTGCACACACGCGCGCACTGGGGTCCAGCGGACCTGAATGCTGCCTCCTCCATCACATCCGTCTGTGACACTGCCATCGCCGCTCCTGCTTGCGTGTTCGGTTCGTCCGAACCAATGTCGCCACTCTCCCGAGCGCTCACGCGCACCGCCTGCACGGCCTTCACTGCTCCCGTTGACGCAGCGCAACTGCACGCGCGTCGGCTCGTCCTGCTTTGCCTCGTTCTCATGTTTGCAAGCAAGGCCACGACAAAGGGTTCCCGTCACGTCGCCTGGAAGGTCGTCGGCCGGCCGAGTCGTGCCAAGCCAAACCCATGCGCTGGTCCCTTCCTTGTTGCCGAGTACGTTGGGTGGTCGCGTGGAAGTACATCTTCGTGCCTAACCCACCACTGTGCAGTAGTACGATGTCGGGGCGCCAATTTGAATTCTTGCCGTCGCCGGCCGCCATAAGTCCGGAGGCGTCGCTCCTGAAATTGGCCTCACACACTCCACCGTTTTCCAATTAGCCATACACACATCGAGTGTTCGTCCCGTCGAGTGTTCGTCCTGCGGTGAGGTTGTGCGGGGCGTTCCTCTCGTGGACCTCTAGCGCGAGCTCGGCGAGGTCAGCCGCCTCATCCGCACCATCGCACTCTTCCGCGTCGAGCTAGTAGCAGCGCCGCCAACAGCACACCGACGTGCTCTGTTCGTCGGCGAACACCACCACACCACGCTCGCGCAGGTGAGCAGAGCAAGCAGAGCAGCCGGCAGTGCGTACTGTTGCTCTTAGCTTATTGACATCAACCTGACGTCATCCCTGCGTCACACCCATTTTAGGGCATCTTTCGTGTAGGAAAATAAATCCCGAATACATTAGAAATACGCCATGCTCTGTCAGCTCGTGTCCGCACAGCCGCCTGGCCTAGCCGCGTCCGCGCCCTTGCCTGCTGGGCCGGCTCGCGCCCGCGGCCTGCTGTAATAGAACCGACCAATTATACGAAATTAAGTAAGAAAATCATCCGCCAGAGCAGACGATTTAGCAAACTTAAGCCCGTATAACCCGGTAGTCCGTGAAATCACGAAGGATTTCAAACTAACTTCCATTCCAGCCAAGATCGTAATAAGTTTAGCGGTCACCATCACATATTACATAAAAGTTTGCATCTCAGATACATCAGAGTTTAAACATAGTTATTACAAAACAAGTTCGAATAAAAGTAGCGGAAGCCATTTGTTCAAACCACACACACTCACACGGAGTTCAAATATAGTGCCAGCAAATCATCATCTCCAACAAAAGCATTAGACGAGACGTAAGGAATGACCATGCCCATGGTCCTAAGCATCATCCATCGCAGGATAAAGGCAGTTGATACAGTAGCCGTAATACATCTGTCCATCTACAATAAGTGGGAATAAAACCCTAAGTACGGG